AGGTAAGCTACTCAAAGAACTGAACCGAGAAGCAAAAATAAAACACTAGGTGCTTCATGAAATTCAAAATCAAAAAAGTGCAAGCATTTAGAGGCCTTTTAGGTGTTTACAAGTCAAGATGTGGATAAATATACCGATAGGCTAATGGTGAAAAGACATCTTCTCTGTCAAGGTAAAAGAAAAACTAAATGCAATGTGAAGCTTTGCAGTTTATGACCAAGCCTGTCAACCTGTATATGTTTGATAGTTTTACAGTGTGCAAAATATAAGGCACAGGAAGTAGTAGAGAAGTACCACCATTAATGGAAGGAATATCTACACAATGACTAATAATGAAGACAATAACCATATTAGATTAGGAGATCTCATAGCCAAGCTTTTTCAGCACCCCCATATATGTTAAGGTTGAAGAGTATTTCTCTTTCAAAGGACCTGCCTCTTTCCTCCGGTTGAATTCATACTACATCTTCAGCTCCAGCAGATAGCGGAGGCGACACTGACTCTCTTTGTAGATGAGGTATTCGCTGTTGCAGAAGTGGCTGTCTGAGAACTGGGGCTGAGGTATGGGCTTGCCCTGAGGGACAGAAACTTCCTTGCCGTCCAGGGTGATGAAGATGTCCTTAGAGGGATCTTAAAAACACAGGAGAAAAACAAAACTTGACCAAAAGACCGATGAAGCATGGTCACCTTAAACATCACTTCTCAAATGCTTTCCTTTTCTAACAATGTGGGAAATTAGGGAAACAAAATGAGCCAAGTAAAATGTTATTGAAGTAATATGATCTTCAAAATGAATTATTGTTATGCTAAATTAAACCACAATTCTGCACTGACTGAGTTTATAGACCCAAAAATAGAGATTTGCATCCAAAACTGCTGGGTCAGGCATCAGTGAATCCACAAAGCTATTTACTTATATGATACCAGTTCTTTAAAGAATATTCATTTCACCAGTTAAAGCTCTAATTTTCTCTTTCAGGAAATCACTTCATTTTGTAATGGCAGTTTTGAAAGGTGCTTTATATTATTGCTAAAATGTCAGCAGTTTGTCAATGTCTCACTCTGGAAAATAAAACGGAAACATTTACTAGCTGCACGACAGTTTAGAGGGGTGGCGCTAGTGTTTTAAATTACAACACTAACAATCTTTTATTTGCTCTTTTTCAGTTGTGACTGTAAAACAAGATCATTAAAGCTGCTATTCAGGGTTAGTACCATACAGCTGTTAAAGTATATATAGTAATTTTTTTTTAAATGCACTGGTTTGGGATCGGTTCTCCAGGTATCTGTAGCTGTATCAAGAAGGGGAAAATGGTATCACAATATCTCTACATAAAAGAAATGTGTCTCTCAATATACAGGCAGTGACCTTGAGAGCGAGACAAAACAAAGGAAGTATTGTACCTGGTTCCACTGATCCTCGAGCCACCACACTATCATAACTTGCAGGAGCCTTCTTCAGGGAACTGTCATCTTTGGTAATGGTGCACTCTTTGCCGAGGGCCACCTCGCTCAGAAACATCACTCCGGTGTTTTTAGAGGTGCGCACTAAAAACATTAAGCAGAAAATGTACATTTTCAAACACCGCAGTATCAGTATGATAGCAATTAATGTCATGATTTACTTCTTTAGTCCTCAGCCTCACCGTAACCTGCAGACTTGCAGTTTTCAGATGCAAAATAGATGCCACGACCAACTCGGCCTCCTGAATGAGGCATAATCCTCAGACCGCTCTTCAGGATCGCTGCCACCACTGCGATGTTTGTACCGTGCCACAGCAGACGGCGGTTCTCTAGGTTATCATTTTCACTAAAGCGCTCTCCCTGTAATGTGCAATATGTATTTTTTCATTTACAGGATGATTACAGTCTTCTGTCTGGGATGAAACAAGGTTGACTGCTGTTCTTACCTCTGTCTCTCGATCAACTTCCCAAACGTTGATAATTTTTGGTTTACGATAATTACCTGCCGTCACTTTCAGGTAAGTTTCTATGATCTTTAAATTAAAAAAATAAAAATCAGAAGTTAATATGAATGAAAGATGAACAAAAATCACTCATGACAGAACAAGAGCTTTGAATTTAAGTTGGAGTTTCTTTTAAATGAACCTTATTATGTGACACAGTACCTTGAAAGTTTCCGTATCCTTGTCCATTAACTCGAGCTTGCATTTAAGAGAAGTGTAGTCTTGGTCGAGAGGGTGAGGAACTGTCTCTATCATCTCTTCCTGAGCCTTCTCGGTCTCTGACTTCAGAGTCTGGGCGAGCTCGATGTCAGCCAGCACCTTTTTGTCAAAGGAGAGCGACTTCAGTACTGACAATACATCACTCAAAGCAATGTTGTTTTTTTTCAAGAGTGTCTTTCAGGTTGAGAGCAGGTCTTCTTGATTTCACGTTCAGATTTAGTAATGCTCTCATTCAAAACACTGCTTCCGCTCTTGGATTTTATGTGCAACAAGTCTGTCAAAATTCTCAGACACCCGTAAGCACAAGCAGGGTTTATTTGGGTGCAAGCACAGGGTTTTGAGTGAGAGCTTTACAAAGTCAGAACGTGAAATGTTCCAACATGTAATCTAAAAGAAATTATCGAACCATGAGCATCTCTTTCTTCTTCTCCACTATCTCTTTAGAATTGATGGTTGGTGGCCTGTTCCGTCCAAAGTTGTGTGGGACTGTGGTGAAGAACTTGGAGGAAAGTTCCTCCAGACGGGCTGCTCCGTTTTTTTTGCCCATGGCCGCCTCGATTTCCTCCAACACATCAAAGCCCTTTGCGATCTGCAGCTTACTGAGTTTTCCCAGCGGCATTTTCTTGATGTCTGTACAACAGCCACACACACACACACACACACAATTATAAACATCAACCATACCAGTTATTATATGTTGATCTCATCTGGTTATTTTGTATTTGAATGTGTTTCTTCAGATCCTTCCACATGTTAGAACAAACTTACAATGAGAATGGCAAGCTGCACTCATAGATATCAGTCCTCTAAATATGCCTGATTGTTTTCCTTAGAAGTGTTGAAACAGTGTTAAAGATAAATTCTGGTTTCGCCCCTGATCTAAATCCACATCAAAATTCTTCCCTGACCCATAATGCATCCTTCCACCAAGTATCATGGAAATCTGTTGAGTAGTTTTTGAGTAATCCTGCAGACAGTCAAACTAATGGTGAGGGGTGAAAACATAACCTCCAACAACTGCATTAGCAAAGTCCAACACTCTGATCAGAAGTTCTCAAAATGCTGACGTGTTGTGTAAATGCCGACTTCACCCTCTGTCACATGGGATCAATCATTTACTGCTTCACTCAGCAATCTCCACGTTTCTTACTTTTCTGAACAGTACTGATAGGTGAAGCTAAGAGATCAGCACCGTGTTTAGTGCTACAGCCTCTTACAGGCATGTTACCCAACAAGTATACAGAACACACAGTCTACGTGAACCTGTTTGTATAAAAGGCTTGGTTGAAAGAAACACACTCACCTAAGTTCATACATTCCATCGCCTCCTTGAACATGTCATTACTGAAAATAAGCTGGATGAGGTCTTTTGTTGCTGCATCAAGTGTACAAGGTAGAACATTTTTAGTATCTTTGCCTGACTTTCCATCCACACTGTCCACCTGCAACAGCAAAAAGTACAACCAGTGAGATGTAGTCAACTTACCAGACCTGCAAAGGTTTAAAATATCTGAAACAACTTCAAAAGTGTGTTCAAATTTCAGGCTTCACTTACCTTCACCTCGGCGTCCTGCTCTCCATCCACCTCAATCAGAGTGTACTTCCCAGAGTGAGACACAAAACTCATGCGATCACTCCAGTTGTTCTTGGTCTTGTCCTTGAACTTTTTCTCAAAGTCTTTGACGGCCTGTTCAGGCTTGTCAAACGTGTTTAGTTTGGACTGTCCCACCTCCCCCTGAATTCAGATTCAGACAGATGAGGCAATCAGAAGCAACTCATTCAGACATTATTCATGGAGTCCAACTGATACAGATCTTTGTGGAGGCTGATGCCAATACCAATATTGGGGGGGAAACATTTTTCAGATACTGATATATATATATATATATATATATATATATATATATATTGCCAGTGATTCCAAAAGATGTACTTTTCAAACCCTTAGGTAATCAAGGCTTGATATTTGACAGTTCAGCCATATACTTTATTATAAATATAAATAAAAAAACACAAATACAAGAAAGTATTTAGAGCTTGAATCAATAAACGTTTTTCTTAATTCTGATTTGAATTCATTTTATTTTTATTCTGTATTGTTTATTCTAAAAGTTTTCATATCTGCAAACTGAGTAAATCAGGAAGGGACTTACCACTCGACCCCATCTGTTCCACGTATGGTATTCATTGTCTGCTTCAATGACTTGAATGACATAAAACTTGTTATTGTTATGTCCAACATTGGTCTGGTTCAGCATGCAGTCGTAGTCCTCATGTACCTGGAGAGATGAACAGATCTCTGCAGGTTTGAATATGTTTGAGTCATGAACCTAGAGAAGATGAATAAATACTTTGAACTTCTATTAAGATGCATCTGGACTGACCTCTCCAGATCCAGACAGTGAGCAGTGCTCGTCCACCTTCCTCCTGCCCTTCACCTGTGGCCCTGCAGCCAGCAGGGCCTCCTTGGCTGAGGTGAAGGCATCTTTGGGCTTCGGAGTCTCGGGCTCCTTCTTCACCTTCTTGCCTCCAGCCCTGGCAGCAGCAGCTCGTCTCTTTGGGGCCATGTTCTCTGATGACAGACACACTGGTCATGTTGGCCACTGGGCCTGGACAAGCTCTGACATGCCCACAGGCCCCCCCCCCCCACACACTCCATCTCTAACACTGGTCCTCTGAACACGAGTGAATCCACAGTTGTATAAAGCAACAAGCAACAATAACTCGTCATTCAGCAACATTAGTGGTTTTTAACGAGGTTTGGAACAAGTCAACTGGATCCTGAAGCCTCCGCCTTCTCCTGTTTTATCCCAGAGAGGAAATGAGTTTAATCAAGCAGCTGGAAACTCACCTTTATAACATGCAGTACTGTGAGTGTGTGTGTGTCCGTGTGTGTGTGTGTGAGATAGACACAGCGCTTCCTCCTCGCAGCTGCTGCACAAACACAGAGTCCAGCTGATGTGACTGTCGGGAAGTTTACAGTCAGTTTACAGTGAGAGGAAGAGGAGGAGCTCAGCTCAGTGCTCTGCTCCTCTTCTTACTGCTGCCGCTGGACTGGAGTCTGCAGAGCTGCACGGCAACAGCGCCACCTGCTGTCCTACCTGTGGAGGTACTGCTCCCCCTGTTGCTGCTGCTGCAGGCCTCCACCCATGCTGTGCTCGCGGTAATGATGTGAACTGGGAGACAGACAGAGTCAGTGTGTCACCTGCAAACATGTTCTCTGCTTCTCAAAACTTCCAAGACAGATGAAGACAGACTGGAGAGACTGAGTGAGTCTATTGGTAACTAGAATGCCAGTCCCCTTATAAACCCATAGTTTAACTTATTAGATCCAGATTATTATAAATATCAGCCTCCTAAACATACATGCTTTATTTATTTCATCAAGATCCGTGAATGATTTCCCTCAATTATTCACACAATGTGTAAAAGAAATTCTTAGATCTGCCCAAAATTGAATGGGTTCTTCCAGCAGCACCAGGATGTGCAGGTGGTCGTTCTGGCCCGCCTTGATCAGTCAACTTGACCAGCGGTAATACAGGAAGCAATATATGCATGAATTATATAATATATATTATATAACATGAATTATTGTTTTTGTGTATACCTGCGATCTAACACAGCTGAAAACTCAACCTTTTTGGTGGAGGTACTGAGTCTCTAATCACCTGCACAGTACAAGTGTTATCTAAAGGTTTAGTTACAAAATATTCCTCACAGACAAAAATCTGTTTTGTGTTAAACTGACATCTTCATTGTACAGATAGAGTTTTGAATTTAGTTTTGTTCTTTCAAGAAAACAATAAATCCTTTTAACTAATACAAGGTTAGGGGTCAGATGTGAACTGTGGTCAGGTTTAGTGCGTGTGTGTGCGTGTGTGCGTGTGTGTGTGTGTGTGTGTGTGCGCATTACACATTTGTCTTGCAGCTATCACTCATGTCACATACCAAAGTAAAGCTTGTTGGACAGAAATTTTGCCCAAAGACAATAATGTATTTTCTCATAATCACGTCATTATATATTATAACGTCGCCCTCGCTTTAAACTTTACAAACAACACAATATTCCATCTCTTGCTGTCACATCTACAACTTGTTGCAGTGCATGCTGTAGCTTTAGTAATTTGACGAGGGCCTCTGAGCAGATCTGATTAAATAACACAGTGCTGTGGCTTTCCCTCCACTTTCTTGATGCGCAGTACTTCCAGCACACTTCAGGGCAGCATTCATTGTGGTTCATAAGATCAAAGAATGTGGACACAAGATGGCAGTGTTAAATCACGGATACTCTGGGTCTACATCGTCTGCCTCATGCACACAGGGGGCTGCTTATTCCTCGGGCAACTTCAGTGGATTTTATCCCACATCAGCAGATGATGATATTTGTGCTGGTAATTTCCATGTAGAGGCGGTTTGGTCTTAGCAGATGGAGTGGATTGAAGCTGATAAACATTCCACAGCTGATGAAATATTTAATCGCTCAGATTTCAAACCCAAGCTGAATCAAAATTTGAATAATTTAATGTGATGGTTTATTTTAAATTAAAATAAATTTGACTACCTGAATTTAAATGATTTGGCTGCTATCTTGAGATAACGATGGTTTTCTTCTTTCTCTCTTCTTTAATGACCAGGAGGTTGATGGGTTGATGTTCGAACACATGGCTACTTCTATCCTCATGTTAAAGTTTCTTTAAGCAAGACACTGAACCAGACAATAACCAGGGCAGCACCTGCACCTCACAACATATGCAAATACAGAAACGCGCTGCAAAAAGTCACAACACGTTCAGTGAAGTCTGCCACTCGTCAGATGGAGCCTCACAAAGCGGTGGACTACAGCCAGGTTCACCACTTTTTTGGTCCCCTGGAAAATACTTTGTCGTCAAATTGATGAAGTTGTTTTCTTAATTTGCACATGCTTTTTCTATTTGCATGTGTATTAGCAGTGCATTGAGCTCAGGCCAAGGTGTAAATGAAGGCATCAAAGTAGTTTTGCATATCATGTGCACAGAGATAGTCGGACTATAGCTCATTATAGTATTAATAAAAAACACATTTTATTTACATAAATTACAAGAAAGCACAAACTCGTTCACCAAAATCTACATTAAAAACGTCTCGAATATATTACATTTAACAGATTTACTATAATTTACCTCATTGTTGCAAGTAGAATTCGTCCATAAAAAGAAGGGCTACACGCCACTTTATTGGCATCTCATTTAAAAATCGCTACGAGTCAAAGAACAAAATGAAATAATCGGGACATTGTACTCACAGCACTTTGAGGACAACTAAGTCAGGACAGTCATCTGTGTGACCTCTTTAATATCTGAGACACCTGATTCAGGACTAGTGATTAAATAACTCTGTCTACAACGCTTGGCAAAGGAACTCAACCCATCTTCACAAGGACGACGTCGTGGAGTCCACCACCTCACGTCCGTTACACACTGTCGGGACAACATTGGAGGCTGATGCTGCAAAACACAAATAAATAATTTTGTTCTTTTGCATTTACAACACCGAGAATTTAATATGCATCACATGTGTCTAACATAACTTTCCCTCTGAGCTGCTGCACAGAGCTGCTGGCCCAGAGGACCACGTGCTAACAGATGAATTAGCAGTATGATAATCAAGGAATACATTATGTAAAATAAAGGGGAAATCTGAGGCATTGCAGTTTAGTGTGCATGTGTGAAATATCACATTTTCAATTAATTATCCAGAAACAATTGCGGCTGTGCGCTGTCCTTAAATTACACGTCTTCCTCCCTGATTTATAGAAATAACAGGGTCATTATTTCATGTGGTGGAGAATTGTATGATTATGATTTTGAAAAAGAAAAGAAAATACAACAGCCAGTGTTAGAGGTGTGACTGACCGTTTTTTTTTTGTGTATCGGTGGTACCTTGGGAGAAACTGGAGCCTGGGCCAGTGGTGACGCTGAAGCGGGTGGTGGCCACCCTGAGGGTGCTGACATTCTTCTGAGGCTGGAACAGGATGATGTGGACCTTAGGAGCAAAGAGGCAGCCCAGCACCACCGAGCCGCTCAGACTGACAGAGATGCACATGGTGGTGGTCTGCACCTGGGGGAGGAGGAGGGGGAGAGAGGTGATGAGGTCATTTGTGGTCTGATATCATAGACTGTTTATAAAGATGGACGACATGACAGTTTCCCAAAAGTGACGCCAATGTGCCTCAATCGCCCCCTGGTGGCTGGTTGCAATAGGTAATAACTCAACCAAGTTAGTGGATGAAGTGTCAGATTTTTTTTCCTCAAAGATGGTTTCTGTCATTTTGGTTTTGATTATTTGATGCTATGAAAAATGGGGTGAAATGTCATGATTGAATTTGAGACTCGCAATTGGCTAACCCCCAGTATCGGTGGGGCGTTGCTCTGTCTTCCAATCGCTACAGCCCCCCAACTGAAATTTTTGTATTGCTAGAAATGCTGAATTCTTACACCCCAGCAAAAAGTCTTATTTCACTTCAGTGCCAGAGTTAATATCCACACATGGCTCAAGTCCCAGTGTTAATTATTGTTGATATTTTTAGTGACAGTTATTGTAGCTGAACATTTTTTTTTATTGTTCAACTATAGAGATGAAAAGGCTCAGAGAGAAAGGAATAAAACAATTAATTCAACGTTTATGACGTGATGAATCGTCTTATAAGCACTGTGATGGTGCTGAGGAACTTTTTTGCTGTTTAAGAATATTCATTCTAATAAGAATTTCCTGGATAACAGGATACAGATTGGCATCGCCTGGTGTGTGGCAGGTGCGTTTCATTTTCACAAGGCACAGCAGGTCATCAACCTGAATGCTAATGTTGGTATTAAAATAACGTGGGCACCAACTATTGCATAGTAAGCAAACTGTTCTCCAGCAGAGATAACGAGATAATAGCAGATTAGCAGCAGCCATTATCCTCCCAATTTTATTAACCAAATAACAATTAATCACCTTACATAAATGTTTTCTCCACGTCTTATTCTCTCATGGTACATAATTAATAATTATTGCAATAATCATATGATGATAAATTATATGAAGAAGGGGACTAATTGAGAAAAAATATCTATGAATGATATGAATATATATATATATATCACATAAACTACAGGGTGTCATAAGGTTGCATGAATGAGGATGCATGTGTGAATTTCTGTATCTTGCGGTATATTGTACTTTGCAGCATATAAAGGATTCAACCTATGCCACCTTTGAAATGCAGTACACACACATTGATGCACGTCCATTCGAGATGTAAATTCACAAAATGAACACTTTTTCTTTGTTGTATTTCTGAGATAGATACAGTGTCAGTGTAACCCACAGAGGCAAAGGGACATTTATTCCTAAAAATCTGAGCAATATCAAAGTGAACAGAGGCCAAATAAATTAATTCAGAAATTGTTTTGAATAAAACCACAGACTGCGCCGCATAGGAATGACCTGTTAAGTGCTTTTAATAATTCAAAAGATGCTGCTTCGGAAGAGCAGAGGACAAGGAATCTGCCTTTGCAGTAATTTCTTTTTTCCAGGGGTCTTCTGCACATGTGTGGAGAACAGGATGTGGAGCACGGCCTCGTACGGTTTCTGCTCATCTCATCTCACTGTTGTCTTCACTGTGTTTGGCCTTTCAAGGTATTATTTTATTTCACAAATAAAGTACCGCTGCTTCAGCTATAAATAAGGTCTGCTGTATTCAGGTATCTCTATTCCTCCAGAGAACCTCACAGCGGAGATGAGATTCCATGTTTTTATTGGGGCTTCGAGCTGAACGTTTATTGAAGAGCTTTATTGGATGAAGCGTGTACGTCATGTGTGTCTGGACCTGGAATTTACAAAACTCATCACTTTAATTCACAGATGGAGACTTGTGACTTAAGATTTCAGAGTTGTTTTTAACCTACTGTACTTCACGAGTTTCTGTAATGTGCATTAACAAAGGTATGAAACGAAAGTCATACCAACCCCCACGGGCTTCATCAGCTGATTCTATATAAAGTAATGCTGTTATTGTGTTTCCTCCACCAGTGCTGCGTCGCTGGATTTATTCCTGTGTTTCCTCAAAGGACTGTACACTCTGTATTCATCCACATCTTTTCTGTTCTGCTTCAACTCATTGGTTGAGGCTGATCATGCTACTATAAGAGCTGATGATTGTACAATGTCAGCATGCATAAAAAAAAAGCATCTGAACAAATTTAATACAAGTCAAACAAGCTTCCCTGGTCCATTTTAAGACAGTTCAGTGGTTGTAAAGATTACAGGAAATCATTTTCTCATTAATAATCTTCAGTGATTTCATGGACACGCTGTGACTTTTGGCTGCGGTCGCTGTTTAATCAGTTGTGTTTACTGCTGAGATGAGATGACCAGCACTGGCATATGTGGCGATTGCTCTCCCACGGGACGTGGAGGACATCCTCAATATTTCTTACAACAATATATAATGTGTTACTCCATAGATTGTGTTTAGTTTGTCTGAACGTTTCATGACAGATGACAGTCAAATCTGGTTATTTCAATCACCCGAAGGCTAAGATTTTATATTGTGTTTTTATTCTTTTAATTACGTAAGTACTTAGTTTAACTAACCTAATTTATTATCTGTTCCTATATATCAGTAAATTGTATTGAGGTGAACAAAATCCCTCCTTTATATACTTTCATGAAAATAAGTTATTTATTTTTCATGACATACTAAGGCAAACCATCTTAGCTGTGCTCAACTACTTTGGTAAGAAAATGCAAAACCAGGACATTTGATAAAAATCAATGCCTCTTCTGAGTGAAAGGTACTTTTTTAACATTTATATATTGCCCAACCTTGAACCTCTTAACTTAGCTTCATGAAGAATAATTTCAAGGTATTTTTTTATCCATGCCCTCATTAGCACTCATCCAGACTTCTAACTCTAGATATTAACATCAGGCTGTGACAACAAAAGTGGCACAAAACCGGGAGAAGACAAGTGATATGTTCCTGCCTGTGAAAAACTAGGGTCTATCTGATGAGCCCATTCTGGCTGTGAATTGTCCGCGTAGCCTAGAGGGCCTGGAGGCGGGGGGTTCCTCTGAGCCTCGCTGCAGTCCCAGGACAGAGGGCACAGCTGGGACTCCATATCCAAGTCTTTCACAGTCCATTCCACACAGCTACACTCTGCGACACACAGGGACATGCAGTTCCCTCTCAGAGCTCTTGCTCTTCTCCTGCCTCCTCCATGTTTCTGCAGGAGCCGATGTGTCAGGGGATTCCTGTCTGTTTCTCCCTCATGCCTCCATCTCTCACCGCACACTGCTGGGACCCCAGAGGGACAAACCTCCATGACTCAGGCCACCCTGAGTTTCTATCAATGCAGTGTATGTTCTCGTGTCTACAGCTGACCACCAACATCCAATCAGAATGCAGCGTCATGTCTGTGGGTCTGTCTGAAAAGTTACAGCAGAGACCCACCGGTAATGTTTTATTCCTCGTATGTATTCAAGGTGAGGAGAGGTAAGCAAATCAATGTCCAAGGTGGATTTTCACTTTAAATTAGAGGCATTTTTTATTTTAGACGGAATAGTTTAAAACTTTTTTTTTTTTTATCTCCAGATTTAGAAAACCTAGAATACCTTCACATAATACAAGAAGTGGGGTTTTGTTGTGGTAAGATTAAGAAGATTAGCACCTGTTACACTTTTCAATGGCTTCACCATCCATATTTTATACTCTACTCTTTACAGGTAAGATAAGTCAAAGTTGCATGGCACATGATAAACACAAGTATGAAGCTGATTGTGAAGAATTAAAGCTACTCAGTAATAAAGAAAAAATATTCCTAAGAGCCAAAGGCAAGATAGACACGGCTGACAGCTGAAGCAATACCAGCTGACACTAGTTCATGATTTCACACATACAAAATCCAAATTCAACCCAAGAAGAAGTCATTATCTGCAGGGATGTACTCTGCTCAGATTACAGGAAACAAAAACCTTCTGTTACTTAGAGAAGATTCCATTAACAGGCTAACAATGGCTACCTTCCATTAAGGAGTGCATGCACAGGGTCATGAATTATAACTTCACTTAACTCACCCTGTAGTCACTGGCAGTAACGTAGAAAATGGGCTGGAACGCCAACCAGATGATGCAGGTGGTGTACATGGTGAACCCGATGAACTTGGCCTCGTTGAAGTTCTCAGGGCATTTGCGGGTCTTGAAGGCGTAGACCGTGCACAGGATGATGAGGATGCAGTTGTAGGTGAGGGACATGAGCATACTGGAGTCCTTGCTGTTACACTTGAGGGTGACCACGTCTCTCCTCTCCGGGCTCACTTCCTTTCTCACCCCTGGGGTCTCAACCAGCAGCCAGACCACCACCACTATCAGCTGGCAGGAGATCAGAGCACCACAGATGGCAACCTGGGAGGCCGGGCTGATGAATCGAGGCCGCTGTGCGCCATCCTTCACCCCACTGAAGATCCGAGCGATGCGATTGGTCTTGGTCAAGAGGGCTGAGTAGCACACAGCAAAGGAGGTGCCCAACCCCAGCCGGCGCAGCGTACACACTGCTGTGGAAGGTTTGGCGATGTAGATGAAGGTCATGCTATAACACATCAGTACTCCCAGCAGCAGAATGTAGGAGAGCTCTCGTCCACTGGCCTTCACCACGGGTGTCTCATTGTGTTTGACGAAGAGGCCGATGACGAAGAGCGTGCACATCATTCCTAGACAGGAAATGGTGACGGGGCCAATGGCCCAGGCATCTTCCCAGCGGATGTACTCCTCGGGCAGATCGTAGCAGCCTGTAAGGTTGGCCAGCGGCCACTGTCCAAAGCTACAGTCGGCACAGGTTAACTCATCCTGCAAGTACTGGTACGGCTGGCAGGGGATACAGATCCAGCAGCACACATCTCCAGGCTGCATGCTCTTCACCTCGTTCTTCCTGCAGGGGTCACTACATTGGGAGGTGGGGGCATCCTGGCCGGGCCACGGAATCAGGCTGGTGTTCAGGGTCAGGCTCTGGGCCCAGTAGCCGACCTTACGGTAGATGTAGCGTCCATCCTCTTTGTGATAGTGGAAAATGTTGTAACGGCCGAGGCTGTCCCCGAAGGCATCAAAGCGAACTATATTCTCTGTGTCTGGGGGTCGAAACGGTGCTGAAGGGGAAGAGGAAAAGAGAGAGTGTTAGAAGAAATCGTGTTGAAAAATAGCAGGTGTATGTCGAGCACAACAATGGTGTAAAAACCTAAAGTGAAAGTACGAAGAATGTGGTGTTTACACCATGAACACATATCTCAGAGAGCATGTTTTTTCTGGTTGGACGGTCTCATATTGAATTTATCTCTTTGTTTATTTATGTCTCTCTGCTGACATTTTATTTGTCTCCCAGTCGACACTGAACAGTGACTGTGACAAGTCACTGGTGAAATTGTCAATATAGCCGGCACAATGAAAGCAGTCCCTTTACTTTGATGAAGAGTTCCATGGATTGAACACTGATGGGAATTGCAGACAGATGGCAGTTTATATAAAATAATGTTAAATTCCCACATAAAAGTCAAGGTTAAAATAAAGCACCAATTAAAATGTTTAAAAGTCACCTAGCTGCAGCTAATAATTACTTTCATTACTGATAAATCTCAGGGTTATTTCATTTCAAAACAGTAAAAATGTCCATTATTATTTCCCACAGTTCAGGGGGACATTATCAGATTTGCTCGTATTAAACAATGCACAGTCTATAAACACAGACAGATTGAATATACTATGACACAGCAGAGAAAAATATAACTTTATTAAATTAATATATATTTAAAATAGTTGCTGTTTAATTCTTTTGTCAGATGACAAATCATTGATTGGACTCATCATTTCAGCAGTATCAATATTATCTCCCAGTCATAAACAGACATTTTTATTTTATAAATTATGAAGTTGTGCAGCACTGTTGTTATCTTATCCATCACATAAATGTTCAGAGCTCTTAGTAATCCACCTGTTGTGCATTTTTCACCACGGGGTGTTGTATTGCCTGCAGGGACTGGTTAATCCACAGGCTCCTAATTCAACGTGAAGTCCCTGAGCAGTAAAAATGTACTTTTTAAATCATTCTACAGAAGCATCACTCCATCTATTTATCAATGAAAAAGGATAGAATAGGGATACCATCGTACAGCTCAGCTTTATGAAGGTGAGAGGATTTGGATTGGTGGATCTATGATGTGAGGATGCAAATGTTGTTGAGGATACGAAATGTGCTACAGGAATAAACATTCTCCGCTGAGACTCTCACAGAGCAGAGGTGATGTTTTAATGTACGATCTGCTGCATTCAAACAGAAAAACCCTCTCTCTATTCATATACACAGAAGAATGGGCCTCAGAGTATGAGGGGGCAGAGACGGATTCATATCTGCAAATTGAATCATTACAGTTATCTCAAGCTGCAGTGTATAAACACTTATTACCACACTAATCCAACTCTTAGAACTTGGTATGATGAGTATAAAGTGATGTACATGTTAGCAGATTTGGCAGCATACAGTAATCGCAGAGTTAGGATTAAATAGAGATATTCATACGGAGGAGGGAATAATGACAAAAAGAGCAACAAGACATCCTGAAAATCAAAAACCTTCAAGCAATCCTGCACTCACATTATCAGGATTTTACTCACCGTCAAACTTGACCTTGAGAATGTAGTCCCTGTAAAACTTTCTGCCATTGCCAGGTTTGAGAGCATCACACACTTTGGTGGAGTTGGGGCATAAAGCCTGCCTCATGTTATGTAAGGCAGTGGCCATTGCATAGATTGCATTCACCACAAACATGATCTTGGATTCTGGTTGAAACGGAACCTCGCGGAGTGAGTGCTTCCCGCAGCCCAGTTCATGGAGGCTGCACTGGAACTGGTTTTCCCAAAACTCTCTGAACCAGGGATTCCTGGTGTTGTTGTACGGGTGCAGGCCAGTGAAGTAGTTGTTAAACTGAGGGATTTGATAGGAGGCCAGTTCAATGGTGAAGGCCCCATCAGCCACCGCTTCACTCCCCCTCACCACGCTCTCCTGCGCTCCCCAGCCGTCACTTGCCACCCAGGTGAAGGTGACGTTCATGCGGTTGGCCGCCACCAGCAGCTCGCGGGCGTCTTCGCTGCGTGTGAACAGGATGACCACCTTGGCGTTGGATTTCTGCTGCAGGGAGCGGATCACATTCTCGTAACTCCAGCGGCTCATGGAGCGACTGACCTTGGCTGAAGTGGCAATGCAGATCTGGTGGGCCCGAGCCTCCTGCTGGAAGGCGTCGATTCCAGTCTCACCATAGTCACCCTCTGATGCTACTGTAGATACGTAGGTCCAGTTAAAGAAACGCAGGATCTCTGCCATGGCCTTGGCCTGGTAGAAGTCAGGGGGCACGGTGCGAGCGAAGTAGTCGTAGCGGGTCTTGTCGCTGAGCTTGGCACTGGTGGAAGCATAGCTGATCTGAGGGATTTGGAAAAGTCGCAGTAGGTTGGCCACCTGCAACGGGAAAGACATCAGAGTGATTATATGTGTTACTGGAATCAGTCTAAACACAATATCACACTGTATTTATACTAGTATGATGTATTAGTAGAAAAACTGGTAATGAGCTCATTACGGTTCACACAGAGACATACACCTGGCTGCTGTGGGAATTGTTTTAATTGCCAACCATTAAATAAATTAATGAAAATTGGCTACACTACATGTTTATTCCCCTGCAGATGCAATTAGTCCCCCCCCCCCACATTCAGTCTATCATTTCTTCACTGATCCCTGCTGAGTCTTTCACAACATCATTCTCCAGCTAACTGAGAGCTAAGATCCTGTATTTTGCAATTGTGCAACTACATCATCTTTTCTTATCTGTCTGACACTGTCAACAAACCAACCAAAAATATGTGCAGCAGACGACTGAGTAGCTCCAGGTGTCAGTCACAGTGGAGAGACTTTCTGCACCAGAAACATGAGCAGATTCTCACAAAGTTCTGGCTCAGAGAGAAGTGGATAGAGACAGAAAGGTGGAGGACAGGGATTGGGGGAGGGGGGGGTGAAAGGAAGAATAAGAACAAAAGAATCTCGAAACTTTGCATTTTCTGTTCAGTAGGTTTTGTCAGTGTCGTGACAGTGCGCGCAGTGTATAGAAGCAGCAACCGACTTGCTTTTGCTTCAGGCACTTCTGTGGAAGCCTAAGGGGAGCCGCTCGGATCAGTCAAAAGAATGCCAACATAAATCTGGTTGACTTTAATGCCGGCTCTCAAACCGGCACACTGATGGCACAGCATCTGTGTCAATGAGTCATTCCTTAAAAGAGTCAGAGAGAAAAATTCATATTCAAATGCATCCAGAGTCCTGAATTCCTATATTGTCATATTGTGACTAATCTGTTGCAGATTAGAAATAGTTCAGAACAGCATACTTTATCCCAAACTGTAGAGAAATATGAGACAATAACATCTCAACCTTTTGTAAAATGACATAAAAACAATGTCCTGCTGTTATCCCCAAGGATTGCTTGGAAATATGCCGAGGCTGTTGTTTCAGAGGATTGCCTTTCTAAAAATGACAAATAGCCTCAATCTCAATATTATCAAGACGATGTGTGATTTGACTTTAAAGATCAGAAATCTTGTCAATGGGCCTAGCATTTTTTGGCTTCAGTATAGATTTGAAATACCAGTATAAAAACAGTATGCAATAATTTTGTAATATATCAACAGTTTGGCAAGGGTCTTTATCTCTGTTCCTGTTTACATGTTCTCTCAGTTGTCTTTGAGCGTGCCAGCTTCCTCCCACTGTCCAGAGACATGTAGATTGAATTGGGTGGATGGATTCAATGCACTGCTTACTCACAAAAATGGAATTACTATCAGACACGTTGTAAGTCTAATTAAGATAAGTTAATTCAGCACTGCTACACTTTAAATTGAACTTTAAAATAAAACTTTACAATTGCAGTAATTGGATAACAACTTAAATGTATCTACATCAACCCAGTAAATGGCCCATATAGGGAAGTTTAAAAGGTTTTTTTACTGCAGCTGTTTGAATACTGCAGGTGTATTGGTCACTAAATTTACAGCCGACATATAAAACCATAAACCAGACACATCATTACAGAGGAGCAAACACATGAGAGTTATTGATAAACAGATCAATACACTGAGACATTACAGTAAATGTAATGTGATGTGCGCCGGTGGATTTTAATAATGGGATCCTTCTTATTTCGCAGGATCTGAGGGATGAATATTAAATGAGCTGGTGTCAGTCGTTTCCACACCACTAGATTTATTGGAATTAATGAGACTGTGAACGTCTCACACACAAAAAAGTAAATGCAGCCGTCAATCAAGAGCGACCAGACTCAACCAGACAATGTCATATAGAGGCATCGCTGAACTCATTCCACAGTTCAACATTACAGCTATTTCTGACTCATGTGCAGGATGGCGACTGAAAAACTGGGATGAAAATCTGGATTGCTGGAACACATGAGTGAGCATTTTATATCAGTTCGAAGGTTGGTTTCTCCTGAGAGCGTCAGGTCAGCTGTAGAAGTCATGCTTATGCACAGAGGCTAAATCATCACATTTCTACATAGACTCATCTCTCTCCTTAAACCACGCTGACAGCCCTTCTCAACATGTGGTGGAACAGCTGGCAGCAGTGGGCTTGTTCTCTACGAAGGAGAATGATCTAAAGTGGCATGTGACAAAAAACAACACTGTCTAAAGAATGTTTTTCACATCACTGAATTCTCATCACATAATTCCCTTACGCAAATACTTTTCATAGCAAAATATGTACGGTTGATTTGATATTTGTGGACAGTCCTTCTCTTTCAACCCCCATACATATATCATGTAACAAAGCAGTCAGATGAATTTCCAGTCCAAAAGAAGACATCAGCTGAATTTGTTGCTGAACCAGTAATTCTCTCCTTAAATGAAAAATAATCCCATTATGACTCCAGAAACTATGTAGGAGAATGGATGTGAATGGTTTCCGTGTTGATTGATTAATAATGTTTTGAATCCAGGCATTAAATGTGTCATAAATGCTGTTTGAAATTTGGGAAAGTATGAAGGAGGGAATTCCCTGACTAAAGGGGTAATAAAATCTTTAGTATTATTATTATGTAACTACAATTTGTATATAATAGCACATTTGGGGTGTGCAACACAAAAGTATCTCCAGTAAAAAAAAAAGTATTACAGTCATAAATATCAAAATCCAAATCTGTTCAACAAACATATATCCTGATACGCTTGATGATGATCAGTTAGATGGATGTTGATTGCTCGATATTTGAATTGAGTTAGTTGGACATTAATATCTCCACATTAAAAGGCTGAGATAGATATTTATTGTTTATCTTAAGGTCAGTCAGAGAGGATGAGGGAGCTCCTGTAGAATCAAGGGCAGTTAAATTGTTGTTGTGAAACTGACGACTGTGGACTTATTAGACAAAGAAGGCAAGAACACATGTAGGTGCATTGACATGGCTGCTCCAGGACAGGGTATTAGCTATTAGCAAAGCACGCATAGAGGCCCCCTGAGAACAGCTGATTATGTTTTTGATTTTGTGAAAACCTCTTTAAATTCTGTGGTCTGAGGTCTACAGGAGACTGCATTCACAGAAACCTTTGGACAAAATCCCCTGCCAGCATCCTTCTGCCAAAAGCTTCATAATTGTAGGTTTGGTTGAAGACTGAAATGTGTAAATGTGGGTTTGTGATGTGTCTGGGATGGAGGTGGAGGTTTACCATTAAACTTTACAACTTTGCTGTTATTTATGTGTAACCACATTATACAAACAAAAAGCAGAGGTTGCAGGAGCTGTATGCAGGTATGATATTTCTTGTCTGGAAGATGAACACTGCATCTGTAACAGGAGGTGTTGATGTCACATTTTGCTACATGGGTTCAAAAGTCAACAAAACAACAACAACAACAACAACGTGATTCCTCCATTCTGCAAAAAGCTGGATAACAGAAGTGAATGAGTAATTTCTCTGCAGGGCATTCAAAGGAGCTCTGTGTCAGTTTAGTAATCCACTTATGTGTGGCTTATGGGAGGCAGCAAAGCACAGAACTAGACACGTCTCTGACACAATGGGCTTATTGGAAATCATTATGTTCATATGGCTTATATGAAAAACCAGGTCATCGTTTCCTCCAAAGCCTGACTGACACACTGTGAATGCAGGGACACACTGGTGGATAACAGAGGGAGCATGAGGGCAAGACAGTTACCAACCATGTTCCTCTTTTTGATCTCTTCGATTCATCCACAATAAATTTCATTTTGATAGACTAATTATTTTGAGTACTGCATGCACTTTAACCACAACTCTCTCTTCTACCGGCTCCACCAATATTGATTGATTCTCAACCGTGACAGGTTCAAAGAGCACAGGCATATTCAAGTTTAGATCCCAGACGACATGAAGAGAGAAGACAAACAGAGCTGGAGGACTGAGCCACAACACACGAGAAGAGAAAGTTTCCTCTGATCGTGTGTTTAAGGCCAATTGAAAGTGTTTTCTGATTTGGAAGTAATCATAATTGCAACAAGGTTCAATATCTATACACTGCAATTGTGTTTTGTTTTTTATATTTTATGTTCTAGATTGTATTACTTACATTATCTGTTTGATTGTAAAGTACTCTGTAACACTCTGTAGACATAAATCTGAAATGTAAAGTTATCATTATTATTATTAAAGCGTTTCCTGGCTTTTATCCTTTATGTTAAGAAAGAATATCTACACGGAGAACTGAAAACAATAAAAGAGGATCTGATGATTTGAAAGATTAAACTTTGATCGTGTATTAAATATGTTACCTTACGTCTTTATTACCTGAGGTTTTAGCCACACTCCGTGGATTACAGTGTCACACTTTCAGTTGCAGTGATCTTCCTTCATCTTATTTAATTAAGAGAATTAATGAGCAGCCCAGTGAGGCTTTACACAGCAGATTAGGATTGTTCAGATGAAATACACTGTTTCCATACAGATACCCCTGAGGCACCAGAACACACCACAGGCTAGAATAACTCACATTGAGTTTTTTTTTTTAAATACCCCAATAAAAGACATTTATTAATAAAATCAATAAATGCTTTAAGACTAGATTTGACCAGTTGTTGAAGTTTCTGTCTTAAAAACATGCTTCGAGGTTGAAGCACATCTCCAGCACATTTCATTCAATTAATTTGATTTGCTGAACATATTGTTGAATGGATGAGATGCAGTGAGAAGAAAGACATACAGAAAGAAGTGAGGAATGGGACAAGTGGCACAGTGGGGGCAGTAGTCAAATAACAGAGCTATAAGAGATGCAGAGAGAAGAAACAGAGCGAGCATCCTGGTCCAGGAAATATCAGGCCTACTTTGTAGAGATGTCATGATTTTTTCTACATGAAAAGCCCATCTGCTCTTCCCAGAGGACTGTCTCAGTGTGCTTCTAAAACTGTATTCCCACAGCAGCAGTCCTTAGCTCCACTCACTATCACACATATACAGCCCACTGCAGTGCCCTGCAGCACACATGCAAACACGTTCGAGGAGCAAACCTGCATTAAAGCACAGCATAGTTAAGACTACGCACTGGATCATTATTAGTTTACTTCTTAGGATTTCGTTGCCTGGCAACAGCTTTAACGGGGTGGAAATAAAAACTGTTCAACCTAAAGCAAGGATGCTCTTTGATCAGGTCCTGCAGGCATTATCCTGTCTGTATAGTTTGTGCTCTGTCATACAAACATCACAGACCTGCTCAGTGCATCCCAGCCTGACGGCGAAGTTTCAAAATCCATGCACACGACAAACCAAATTGGGGTTCGGCCGATTTCTGCCATCCTGTCGCAGATGTCTGATGTCAGGAAACAAGCATTGACTAAGTGCAGTGGACAGTAAGTTTTGTACTGCACAAATACTGAGTTCTGCCAAGCGACTGAATAATCCAATCACATGTGAATTATTTACGATTTCGGGAGCATGTTCTTTACTTTTCCCCATGAATTATGGATTTTCATTGCATGGTTTTACTGATACGTTTCATCATTATTGTTCGTTCTGGCATGAATTCTGTCATATGTGTGCGTGTGTATCCATGTTAAAGTCCCATGTATGACTCATGCATGCTCCAGAGTTGGCACCGTCTATCTGCAGATGAAGACAATTCTATAAATAGAGGTATTTGTAGATGAACAAAAACGAGATGCTTGAGCTCACCAGAGGCTCATAAATTTTCCTCATTATTCCTCTCACACAGTTTGGTCTGCAAATGTCAGGATTTGTATCTTTAAATTTCAGCCTGTATCTAAGTGAGTGTCTTCCTCTTCCTATCTCATTAATCAGTAAAAAAAATGACCACATCTCAGTCAGTGTGCTAAAATATTCCAATTAATTCACACAGGTGCTGTTGGACAATGAGAGATTCTCCATCACATCCAAACATCCCGGATGAAGCCAGGTCCCTGAGTTTTATATATATAATATCGTGTGGCTTATTTTCCATTGTTTGCAGCAATTTCCTCTATCTGTGTTTCGTGCCCGAGAATAATTCTTTAGCGAACCTTTGAGTATTTGACATTCCAGAGGTGTTGTTCCTCTAATGCACCCCAGTGATGGGGATGTTTTGCCTGGGGGATGATGCTCACTTACCACTGACTCACATTTAGCAGCACAGGTTGAAAACATCTTTTATGATTGAAGCATTTCTGATTTCAGGGAACATATTTTGTAGGCGATGGTCATTACTCATTACCTTGCACAGACAGAGCACAGGAGAAATGTTCAGGGCCAAACATTTAAAATCACATAAATATTCCAATAAGTAGATTCATTCAAACTGTCCAGATGGCATCACAGACTTCCCTCTGACTGTTTAAGATACAGGCGTGGATTGTCAAATGGATTCAATGCTACATGATGCCATGTGACTCACTCCCAATTCTCTCTCTCTGTCTCTCTCAGCGATCATATCTGCCCATCACTGTCTCTGGGTCTCTGCGAAACATGATCTCTCTCCTGATCCCTCATCATCCTCGGTGTGCACGCTCGCCGCTGCCAAACCACCAGACAGCCCTGCTGCAACCACAGATGGAGAAAACAGGACGCAGCCCGCGACAGCGTCATGAAACTTCGCCTCCACGCTCAACTCAGTCTGCGCCCGAACGCCAGCACAGCTACAGGCCTGCAGCCAGATCCGCCCCCATATCCGCGATTGTCACACAGCAACACCAGCAGCACGGCAACACGCTTCTTCATTGTGACAGATTTAGACGGCACTCAGCGTTCTCACCACCTGTCTGTTCGCCATGTTCCACCATGTCGCCATGGTGATCAGGGGGCCTTTAAACTAATATAGTCGGTTGTCCAGTGAGTGCCTTGCCTTTAGGGTGAAATACACACAAGTGACTTAAGTGTCTGTTTTTCACACAGCCAAGCTGGTTCACTCAAAGGTCTGAGGGGCGATAGATTACAGCTACAAAGGACAGAGACACAATGCGGACAAGTTCATCTACAGAGCAACAGCCAGCGGCAGCACATACATGCCACATATTCACATGCCCAAAATGCATATCTCTGACATTGTCCCCTAAAATAACAGGACAGGAGTCTGTGTAAAAAGATGCACCGCTTGTTTTAAAAAGATATCTCACACGCGTGCAATTTCATCCAGTGTTATGTTTTGTAGAAGATATAATTACGTAATCATTATCACACTTTTTAAAAAAGCCACACATGGATAACAAATGGACCTATATGGCCAGATTTATATTTGCAAAGGCTGTGTGTGTGTAGTCATCTGCCGCAATGAGCACACACCTCACAAGTGAACTGCATTACAATACAAAGTGTTATTCATGGCAAGAGAGGGAACTGTGTCCTGTGGTGCACTCCTACCGATGGGGAAGATTCAGTGAGAAGCTGGGCCAGACCTCAGACCTCTGGCTCGTAATAGTACATCCATAAATTACCACAAGACAAGGGCACTCCCCAAGGAGCCCCAGATGCAGGGTTCCACTAAAATTACAGCTCGTTCATCAAATGCTTTATTTCCAAACTGTCCTTTTCACCAGGAATCCCTTTTTATTGGTGCATCTGAATCCTCCTCATGCATCATTTCCCAGGGTCTCTCTGCCTGTATAATGTATTACTGCCCTGTACTGTAAGTTCGGCTTTGTGTTTTGTCAGCAGGGGGACCGCAACTTTAAAATAAACAGAGATGTTTGGAGAGTTCAGTACGATTGTGGAATATTAAACCTATATATTATATTATATATTGTATACAATTAAACCTAGCAGCATTAAAAGTTTAAAGTTTGATTCAGTGATGGATGGTTTATAGTTTCCAGAGCCGACTAAACGAAAACTTACTGCGTTGCTGTGATAAAAAGGCACTGTGTTAACTTGTCTGCGATAAGATGCTCTGTCAGCTTTAAGTAAGAAGACATCAGAATTGGCATGTTTCGATGTGTTTGGTCTAATAATTTGTTTTAAATAATTTAATATGGATTCAGGCTAATGAGGCCAACAGGTAGAAAGCATCCAGGTCGAGTAAGTCTGCAATCATTTGGTTGAAGACTTGGTACAGTTCAGTCAACCAAGATTTTCTTTGCTTGACTTCTGCTCTCGTCAGTTTATTGTTTGCGTATCAGTGCCGACAGACTGCTGACCACTACAAGTCCTGACCACAAAGAACAGAAGGATGCCCACTCCATGCAGCTGGCTGTTTGCGACAGTATCTACACTCAATCAATTATCTGAAGCCAATCATTATTTCTGGATGGGCAGAGGTAAATCCCTTTCTTCAGATAAGCAGATAACTGGAACACGAGGCTGCGCCTGCGTCTTCAGTGAGGTGAACCATACTCTTCCTCCGAGGCAGCAGTCCTCTGGCTGACTGAGCTGGGACAGTTTAAATGAATGCTTTAAAGCATGTATATTTGTGGATATTTACAAATCTCAGTTCCACATGGCAAACTATCTCCTCTCACAACGATGTGAATTTCCACCGATGTGGCAGCCATATTACAGCTGAAGATTTGAAGAACCAATTAGCAGAGCTTTCATCACATAAGATTTACTGAGCCGAAGGGAGCAGTGCTGCTGAGAGTAATCATGCCGTCACTAGTCATCCTGTCAGCCCGTCCCGAGCACAACATCTGTAGCATGTCTGCCTCTGACAGCACCGCTGCTGAAGTGTGAATTACCGGGAAAGAGAAAGAGATCTTCTAAATTAGATCAGCCAAGCATATGGACACACAGGTAAACAGATCCTCCTTGCAGAACCAATACTCATTAAGTCCCTGTGTTAACATCTTGCAAAGGGTAATTGTGCATGGTACTTAAGTCTAAATGGACAGTCATATGACCATCCATCACATTTACCCTCATTCTCGTACTCACTCATCTTTCTGTCTCGCTCTCGAAGCCAGCAGGAGCGGCTGATAGTTAGATACACCTTTTCTAATTGCACTGTCTGAAGATATTAATGTAGCTTCTGGCCAACTCATTTCATGGCACCAAACCAAGATGATCTTTAACAGGAAACTGAGAATTAATTATTGTTTTATAAGAAGTGTGGCGAGCCTACTCATGCAGTTGACATGTTTTCATAAGCTCTTACCTGAATGGAGACATCGCTGTAGGAGCCTCCTATCACCCCAGAGATAGCGAGAGGGACGTCGTCGTGGATGGCGTAGGAGCCGTCGGGGCATGTGTACTCACTGTCATCCACTTTGGTGAGGGAGGCCCGGACAAACTCCAGCGACTGCTCCAGAGCGTAGGTGTCCTTTGAGCAAGTATCCAGTATATGAGCTCCCAGTCTGATCCCTGGCAGGATGTGCTCATCCCTGTTGATTTCATCCAGTGCCATCAGCATGGCCTCCAGTCTCTGGATCCCTCTCTGAGCGTTTATCTTCCCGCAGTCTTCTGCCCCCTCACCCTTCTGGTGCACGGGGAACAGGCCGCCAATCATCAAGTCTCCTTCCAGGGTGATCTCCCTCTTAAAGTCAGTGTTGTAACCCACCACAGGCAAACCTTGGGGAGCCTGGGCAAAGAGAGACACGCATAAGCATAGCAGGCTGAGGCGGGACAGCCGGAGAGGACGGGGCACAGGGCGCACCCCCAACAAGGGGGATCTCCCCAATGACATATCCCTGGGCAAAATGAGGTCGATGTCCTGCCTGTTGTTTCTGGTCAGCGTCCGGTCAGTTTTGGATGGTGGCTGCAGGAGAAGAAGAGTGAGGCGCAGTAGCACCAGATCTCAAAGCACCACTGTTTTTATTCTCACAGAGGCCATTTACAGGATCAATGCCATCCTCTCCGTCCTCTTCTTCAGAGATTTTGTAGATTACAGCCTGCAGATCAAACAGAGAGAAATTCAGTCACAGCCTTTGAGCTGGAGCACAATGACCCCTTTGTCTCCAAAACATTGTGTCTGCCAGGGACTGACTCGTCTCAAAAAACAATATTTGACATCATCTGCATAAGTGATCATTTAATGGTTGTTGATGAGGCTTGTGATAAGGACACCAGAATAAAATTAAGACCGTTAGCAACCACCACGCGTGCTATTCCTCAGTGAAAGTGAAATAATCAGCAAGATGAATCTACCTTGACAAGATATTTGTATTTGTTTTACACAAATTATAAGGGCAATTACCATTTGACATGTTTTTGTTATGCAGACAGAACATTAGAGGAAAAATATATTGTGGAGACATTCTACTGACGAAGCGTTGACCGGAGCTTGAAGACAGAGTTCACTGAGGACAACACAAGCATCCTCCAAATTGTTTTCTCATGTTCTCATGCATCACATAGTCAATCCGTCATTGTGAGGAGCTTCAATGAGAGTGTGTGTGGTATTTTCTCCTCTCGTTTCACTGTGTCTGACCTCATGCTACTTCTCTTCTAAGGCAGATGATTGTACAACTCTTTTATAATCACATGCGCACATGCTCCTGTACACTGAACGTCTACAGAGAGAAAACTAAATCATATATCCCCAAGGATCATTTTGTCAAGACGCATTAAATACTCACACAACTCATGCACACAAAAATCCAAACACAATTAAAAGGCATTAAAAACAAATTCATTTTGTTGCCAGAAGACTAAATGAGTGTGGTTTTATCTAGAACTACATAAACTCATTCATTTATTCTGCAGTTTGCGATGTGGCACATTATTCATTGTCAATACAGAGGAAGGATGCAACTCCAAATAATGTGAGCAGCTACATTTCCCAGTTAAAGATATATATGTTTGTAAGTCTAATGGGATCTTGACTCAGGCAAAGACTAAAGCATTTGAGTTTTCAGTGTTGTTGCACAAACATGTTGGATTCAGTTATGGAACGAAGCTCCATCCTCAGTTCTGACTTGGAAAGAGTCAGATTATCTTTTTTCCAGTCTTGTGCTAAGCTAAGCTAACCTTCAGTAATCATATCCTAGGTGTATCTTGTGTAAACTAACATCAATCTATCTGAGACTTGGACAGCGGTTAAGCGTTCATCAAAACATGCCATGAAGCGTGAAGACAAAGACAATTCTAAAGTGGCTGATGCACAGTTCTCTGAGTGCACTCGAGTGATACAGCCAGAGCACGAACCCAAACCTCATAGAACATCTGTGAAGAGGCCTGAAGATGTCAGTTGACAGACGCTTCCCATCCAATCTTATTCAGCCTGAGAGGATCTGTCTGGAGGAACAGGATAAACTGCACATATCCAGGTGTGCAAAGGTTGTAACTGCTGCCAGAACAGTTTCTACAGAGTTACAGCTCTGAATACTTTTGTAAATGACAGTTTCAGTTTGTGGTTTTTTAGAAATTTAGGAAACATTTCTAAAAACATCTTTTCACTTTGCCATTTTTGGGCTGTTGGGTTATTGATCAGTTCACAGGCCTTTTCTTTTTAAATAGATACAAAGTAAATAGGCCCGATTTCTGTCTGAAACAACTGTATGATGGAGATATATGAAAGTGGCATTAATGTTCTCATCTCTCAGCTTGACAGCAAATACATGAATTGGTCCAGCAGTTGAAAAAAATTATAGCTACAAACAGCTACAACAGTAATAATAATAACAATCACAGTATTATTATTAATAATTACAAGAAGAAGAAAACCCTGATTTATATAGTACTTTAAGCAATGTTTAAATACAAAATGCAAAATTTTAAGAAATGAGAATGGCAATATAATATAATGTATACAATTTTGAAAATGAATTTAAATAACAAAATTTAATTTTAAAATAGATAATAAAAGTAAAATAGCTTGTAAAAAAATATTCACGTATTTTAATTGTATAATGAATCCCTCTACCATTAGAAGTTCTTTGCCAGAAATATTTAAATGATATATCAGGATAATAGATAAAAATGTGTTGTCTAGTTAGTACAATTTGTTGTAAATCAATATGATGCTGACCACATCCTGATTTAATGTGACACTCTGACATGAGGAGTTAAAGCTGATCCGGTTCTCATATGGATTGGAAACCGAGGAGACGCAGGGTTTTTCTTCAGGTGTCAGTCCTCACAAATCCCAAAGGCTTAATTAAGCAGCGCTGAGTGTGGAAGAAGTTTATCAGGGTAAGTTATTGAGCAAGAATGATCCGTCTCATCAACTAGTCAAGTAGGACGACAAGCAGCAATTAACTGTATTGATGAGAGATTATTAAAACCGAGCTGGCGGATATTAACGCTCACTTTTCTTCCTTGCTGTTTGAAAACACTGAGGTTCCTGTTAAAACAACATAAGACTCTGAACAGGAGTCAGACTGCAGACCACATTCTTTGGGATTTTTCTCTCTTGTCTTTCTCTCTCTCTCTCTATCCTCTCGGTCTCTCCCTCTTGTTTCCATGGAAACTTGCCTGTAGATGGAGAGGGTGCGAAGGAAGTCAGACCAGAACAAGTGGGCCAGTCTGACCATGCATGCACAGTGCTGGGTCCTATGGGAGTACTGGGCAACATGCACTGCGAACCGTCCAGACTGATCCGACTTCAGTCAGATCTTTTCATCTCTTGGCTTTTCTATGGCAACACAACCCAAACCAAACAGACAAGCATCTGTTTCAGATCATTATTATGTTTAAATGTTGCTCTAATATATTTTTGAATCATTGATGAATTGAGAAATAAGATGACATGCTGCATAAGATTTGTTGAACTGTCAGTGAGACCTAGAGGTTCCTTTTTCTTCCAGACCAAATGAATGTATCTCTGACTTTCCATCTTCTCCCTCAGCCGCTTGTCAACAAGTGAAAATCTATTGCAGCAGTCTGTGCATATGGTCCAAGTCACCACTACGTCTCTTGCATACAAAGGCAACCGCAGACAAGCAAAAGAATACAACTGTGTACAACAAGAAGGTGTCAGTGTTTGGGGCGTGTACTGTGGCTGTAGTGCAGCTCTGCAGCGTGAGAAACATTGCTGTCATAAATACATAAATGGCAAAAGGAACTGCAAGTCTGTGATGTAAACTAGTTAAATGTGTTTTTTTTTTTAATAGGATTCTGCAGTGGAAAAAGAAAACACTGGTAAAGCACTTAAGCACAAGCGCCTCAAGAGAGAAGAATGGTGACAAAAGGATTTCTGGCTGACACATTGTCAGTCTCCTCCCCGATCCTGCAGTCCCACAGGGAGCCTCCATCTCACCAGTGGGCCCTCCACCCCCCCGTCTTTGTTCTCTACACTGAAATATCCAGCGCATTATGATCGCAGGCACATTCTATTGAGAAAACATTCTTTTAAAAAAGCTGTCGAAGTCACGAGCAGTGAGGCTGGTATTTGAGAGTATTTTGGGTTGTGTTGTGAGTATTCGGTTGTGTTGTGAGTATTAAATTGTGTTGTAAATATTCTGTTGTGTTGCGATTATTTAATTGTGTTGTGAGTATTTGGTTGTATTGTGAGTATTTAATTGTTTTGTGAGTATTTGGTTGTATTGTGAGTATTTAATTGTGTTGTGAGTATTTGGTTGTATTGTCAGTATTTAATTTTGTTGTTGAGTATTTAATTCTTTTGTAAGTATTTGGTAGTGTTGTGATTATTTGAGTAGTTGATTGGGCTGTACTAAAGTAAACATGGCGTCTCTCTCTCCACTGCGATGTCCCGGCCACTTGTAAGAATTTCAGCAGTACATGAAGTTCTGGGAACCGAGCGAAAACAAATCCCACGCTGTCAGACCACTTTGTGGAACAGTTTCGTGCAGTCGATGAGAGAGAGCGGTCGAAACTCTGCTTAAACTTTTCCATGACTAGAAAACAACTTTTCTAAGTGAAGCTAATGGAGCAAGCTGGCTTGATGATGGTGAGGGCCTGCTCCCCAGTGGAGCGCTGAATAAACAAGAGTTGTACAATCTGTGATAGTATATATACTGCTGTGCAGACGCACTGACATAGTCCAATGGGCCAATCACAGCCAGGTTCAATATTTGGTGTGGTGTGAAGGACTTTATCTTTATTCAGTGGATGCTGCCTGGAGTCAGCAAAGACATTAGTACTAACTGGAGTTTGAAATGAAGTAAAACCAGCTGCTGTACTGTTAGTGTCTGTTTAATGAAGGTGAACACAAAGACTGTATAGGCAGAGGAATGGTGAAAATATTTCACTGAAAACGATGAAAAACTTCGAGCACTGGATAGAGTGTCGCACTGTTTGCAACACATGCACGACATTAGAGTGGCACAATTCCAAAACACTGTGTGTGTGTGTGAATAAATGACAGATGCGTTCAGCAATATTTACTCTTTAGATGTAAAATCCCACCCAGGATTCTGTCTACACGTTCACTTGAAAGAAAAAAACATGCCTCTCATTTTCCCTCATTCCTCCTATACAGCCATCTCTGTTTCCCTCTTCACCAGATGGCCTTCTTAATTCAAAAGCGTAAAGCCTGCCAACCTCTAACACACTTCAAACCAGACTGTGTGAAGGAATGGGAGGAGTAGTGCACGGAGGCTGAAGGAAAAAACATTCAAGAAACGATACCCGATGCACGAGGGCAGAAAAAAAAAGGACAGCAGTGTGGGCAGGAGCGAACGAGGGATAAGGGTGGGGTTTGAGAAAGATCCATCCAGGCTGATTTTTTTTATGACACTCATTTTTCCCAGGAGTGGAGTGCAGCATTAATATGGTAATATCCCCCCAGGCGATAGTGGGTGTTGAACGAGTGGTGGTCATCTACTGTATATGCAGCCCTGAGCCTGGAGGAGCAGGTCGGAGATCCCAGTGGAATGACTGAGAGCCTGGTTAAGAGGAACCAAAGGTAATGGGAGTCAGGCCTCCCCTAAAATCACATTTCCAGCTGACAACGAGAATGTTGCTGGGTGGGGGGTGGGGGGTGAAGATG